AAATGAGATGTTTATCCTATATTTGATTGTGTTTATCTGCAGTTAGTTACACGAATTCAGTTATGGGATGAAATCGGATAGGGATGAAATTGTTTAGGGATRAACRGGTTTAAGAGTTTTAAGAGTTTAAGAGTTTTTAAGAGTTTTAGCCAAATGCTTTATAATATAGTATAGATATATATATAAAGAGAGAGAGAGAGAGAGAGAGAGATAGAGAGAGATGGTTTACTTTGCAAATCACTTTATTTATACAAATCTCATTCAACCAATCATAATTTTTCATTTTGTTCATTTTTTTTGTAATTATGAGAGGTTGATTAATCATTTTTATTGTGGAGAGTGTTAATCATGGGTATTATCATCTTTATTATTTTAATTTTAGAGAAATACATGAAACAATTTCATTAAATTTTTTATTAAGTATTATATGAAACAACTTCATCAGAAAAAATATTATATGAAAAAATTTCATAAGATTAAATAATGAAATCGTTGGATGAAGACGGTTTGCACAGTTTGAACGACTTATACAAATTGGATGACTTACATTTGATATCTTATCTCTCTCTCTCTCTCTCTCTATATATATATATATATATATATATATATATATAGAGAGAGAGAGAGAGGGAGAGAGAGATATGCAGGTTCAAACGAGAACCTATGTGATTTACGAGAATGCAAGAACAACCTAATAATCTCAAATTTTTTTATTTAATAAATTAACTTATATTAAATAAAAATAAATTAATAAGGACATTAATGTAATTAAATAATTTTTATAATTTTTATTTTATTTTAATTAGTCATAATTATCATTTTTTTTCCTGCACGTTCGTTTCCACTATCTTCTCCCCCCTTGTGATAATTGTGTGATTATGTAACCATAATCTATCGAAACCATGATCAATCAAGTGTAACCATAAACTATCGAAACCATGAGTAATCGTTGTGATAAATGTTTGATTGTCTAACCCTAACCGATCGAAACCATGATCAAATTAAGTACGCAAGTGATGTTATAATAGTGATATCATATGATTATCACACCCATATCACACCAAATCGTTTAGTGGATTTCGCCCGTAATCGTTGTGATAAATGTGTGATTGTTTAATCCTAACCTATCGAAACCATGAGTAATCGTTGTGATAAATGTGTGATTGTCTAACTCTAACAGATCGAAACCATGATCAAATCGAATATGCTGTTATGATAGTAATATCACATGATTATCACACCCATATCACA